TTCATCATCATTGTCCATCCTCCCCATCAACCACTCATTACTTCCATCTATGTCTTCTAGGATGATAGGATCACTACTTCCCTCCTTATATCTACGTTGCAAGGCACGATTGAATTTCACATAGACCATGTCATTCAATCTTTCTTGTGCTAATCTATTCCGCTTCTTGGTGTGAAGCTGTCAAAAGTTTAATTGGATATTAGTTGATATATATAAAATCAGATACCGAATTTATAATGTCATGTACGACACTTACATGTTGAAACACACCCCAATTTCTCTCGCAACTTGTAGCACTACAAGTAAGACTAAGAACTCGTATAGCAAACTTTTGCAAGTTGGGAGATGAAGATCCAAATGTTGTCCACCACTCCGCTATAAGGAACAAATATTTAAAAAGTAAAATATCCATAGCGTGTAAGTAACTAAGTATAAAAATATATTTTCAATTTAAGATGATTACCTGGTGCCATTGCCTTCCTTTGCCTAATAGCCGCATTTCTACCAAATAGTCCTTCCGCATTTTGATACTTGCCTAATTCTCTTAAGATTAGGTCTTCTACTTGAGGACTTGGAGCCAATCTTTCAATGCAAGAATGTAAACCTTCCATGACTTCTTCACAACTTACAACCCTTTGTGCATTGTCATAAAAGGTAGACGGGTTTAGGTAATGGCCCGCGGCATGCAATGGTCGATGGAGTTGACATTCCYAYCGATTATCAAYTATTTCAAATGCTTTCTTGTAAAGGTCCTCTTGATTGGGAAAGCTTTTAGCAATAGCCTCCTTAGCCCTATCCATAGCTTCATAAATATAACCCATGGCCGGCTTTCTTTCCCCGTCAACTAACCTAAGAACACTAACAAGAGGGCCCGTCAACTTGAGAGCATACACAATATTTCTCCAAAACGTCTCTTGTAAGATGTAGGAGTGCAACATCTTTCCCTTTGGTTCAYTTGACCATTTGCTATCCATCCATTCTTGAGAAATAACCATCTTTCTCAAGTTATTCTTCTGTTTGTGAAATTGAAGAAGAGTGATAAAAGATGTAGCAAATCTTGTGATTGCGGGCCTATGCAAGTTCCTTTGATTCGTGAACTTCCGCATCAATTTCACTAGACCAACAAAGTTGTATATGTATCCATTGGTGAACATTGCCTTCTTCAAACAACTTTTCACCCGAGGAATTTGTTTCCCGATATCCTCTAACATAAGATCTATGCAATGGGCAGCACATGGAGTCCAATAAAGATGATTTCTCGTAGCTTCTAGCATCTTCCCTTTAAGTTTAAAGTTTAAAATAAAAATATTAGGTGACAAAATACATAGTATTATTATTACATATATAATATTATTAATATATAAATTATAATTAGGAATAGACTAAAATAGTAACTCATACCCGCTTTAACGTACGCAGATGCATTATCGGTGATCACTTGGACTACATTTTCTTCTCCAACATCATCCACCATTTTATCAAGAATCCCAAACAACAAATTTGCATCTTTAGAGACATCGGAAACATCCATAGACTTCACAAATACAGAACCCCTTGGAGAGTTCACCATGAAGTTAATTATGTCTTTTTGGACAACCAAATCACGCCATCCATCCGATAAAATAGAGCAACCTTTTTGGGCCCATTCCTTTTTATGTTCCTTTACTTCTTCTTCAACGGTTTTTACTTCTTGGTTGAGTAAAGGGACTCTTAGCTCATACATGCTTGGTGGTTTCATTCCGGGCCCAAATTGGCCAATAGCTTCAATCATTACACTAAAGCTATCATAAGTAGCGGCATTAAAAGGAATGCCGGCATCATAAAACCACCTTGCTATTTGCGTACAAGCGTTATCCCTTAACTCCTTTCGAACCACCGCATTTATGGTTTGTTGTATCCCTCCTTTTCCATCTTTTTTACCTTTGATCACGTCTTCAGGATTAGGAGTGAAGAACCTATCTAGGGGACCTTTTTGTCTCGGTCTTTTTCGTGTGGGCACCTTACTACTACCACCTTCTATTTCAACACAGTCATCGTCCTCTTCACCAAGATCATAATCATCCGAATGCAAGTAACTTGAGTTCATTATATTCTCCACCTTCGCTACTTCTTTTTTCTGCATATAAGACTTTATTTCTTCTTTTACATGTTCTGGACAATTTGGACAACTAGTAACAGCTGATAGACCTCCAATAAAATGCCATTTTAAACGATATACACCACCCTTGACTACTTTACCACAAAAGTGGCAAGTGAAATTGTTCCTACATTTAGGATCTTGAGTTCCATATTTTCTACCGGGGTCACCTGATGAAGTGTTTGAATTTGAACTCGCAATACGTTCCAATTCCGACATTCTGTAAGTTGGTCGACTACTGCTGCTGCTGGTGGTATGACTATCGACTATTGCTGCTGCTGCTGGTATGACTATCGACTACTGCTGCTGCTGCTGGTATGACTATCGAGTATCGCTGCTGCTGGTATGACTATCGAGTATCGCTGCTGCTGCTGGTATGACTATCGAGTATCGAATACTGCTGCTGCTGGTATGACTATCGAGGACCGCTGGTATTGACTATCGAGTATCGACTACTGCAGTACTGTTGTCGGCTTCTAAGTTCTATCGATTAGGTCGCTTCGCTACTCGCTAATCGCTAACAGTCAGTCCACGTTCTATCGCTAACAGTCACCCAAGGTTCTATTTTACATAACCAAGAAGCCCAACTAAAAAAAGCCCAACTAAAAAGCCCAAGTAAACACTGAAAAAGGGAGCCCAAAATGCAACATACATGATGCGTTGATGCCTAAGTGATGCACGCATCGTGTGATGCGTAGGTGATGCGTTCGCATCATGGAATCGCATCGCATCAGCCTCTTTGATGCGTTCTGTCCAGCGCATCAGAGCGCATCGCGCATCAGAGCGCATAATGCGCGCATTTTTAAACCAAGGTCGTTAGCAAGAACATGATCTTTTTGGCCACAAAGAGAACAATCTATATGCAATTTGATCTAATATTTCCAACCAATATGTTGACATTTCCTTGGTGAAAGAGATTGAAAACCTTTTAAACATTTCAATTCAAAATAAATGTTATTGAGCCTGTTTAGGAAAGCTCACTTTTGGTCTTTGACCCATGCTACATGTAACAAAAGAATTATCAAGTGAAACATTTAAAGACCAAAAGAAACTTGCCAAAAACAAAATGAATTTGATAGAATAAATTATCTCCCTTTTGTCTTCCTAGGTGTACTCCTATGTGTCTCTAACTAGCAAAGTTCTCAAAGTTTTGTGTCAGTCCAACACTCCAACCTAAATTTCTTCAATATTGAAAGAAAGGAATAGCTAACCAAACAACAAAAGGATCACTTAGATAACCAGCTTGTTCCTATGAACCAGTTCACCGACAAAGTCTCCTAAGGTCATGTCTTATTGCGAACAAATGTCTACGCTGATATGTCTCAGCAGTAGAGGTGTGGGTGTGATCTGTATATGTGAGGTTCGAGGTTTGAGCCTGGGCACCCTTCCTCCGCAAATCAAAACAAGGAGATCCTCCAAACAAAGTAATAAATACCAAACAAGTTGAAGGACAAGAAAAAGAATGGGGAAAGTATAACATCGCTTCTTTTTTTCTAACAACGACATCAGAGTTCAAACAATACCGTAAGTGTTCTTTCAAGTCCTTCCTTTCATGTAATCTATGAAGCATACATGGACGGAAATCATGATAACATACATAAACGAAACTAGTGTTCGCCATTCCTTCTTTACTTAAAATGTATATAAGTTCAATAAGATTGACAATCTTAAAAAGATATAGACGTAATACAAAGTCTCATCCTATGGACTATCTTTTACCTTACATTGAAATGTCATTCACAAAAGTAGCACTCATAGCATCTGTATACTGCCTAGCAAGCGAAATCAAAAATATCTCATAGCAGCAATTTCTTTTTAAGTTCATAAGCATACATATCCATGCACATGTAACTTATCCTATAAATCTTACGGTTTTATGTAGTATATATGAATCTTCGAGGCTGCAAACAAAATGGCATCTCTACCGCTTTTCATTAATCCATCACAAGTTAACTCCTTTCTTTCACTTAGGAAAGGAATTACCATCTATGTTGCAAGGACACAGTAACATGATACATGGACAAGAAGTGTGGCCATTTCAAAACATTGGACACACAACACATTACACACACAAGCAATGCAAATTTTAAGAAAGAAGACGTGAAATACTATATCAAAGAAGAAGCACCAAGAGAGACGACTAGCTACCACCAAGAAATACCCAACACCTCACTTTGACTCTCCACTGCCTCCTCACTTGTGAAGAAGCAATTTCATTTGACACCACGGATCCTTTTTTTTCTCACAGGAATAGGTTATAAGTTTCAGTTACAAATTTTACTTTCAGCAGTAATTAGCTAGAATTTTGTCTCTATCTTTTTTCTTATTTTACACATAAGTATGAGTTCAATCCAAAACTTCCCTAGTTGTACCCCAAGTTCCAAATTCACTCGTATCAATTCTCAACAATTCAAGCATATGATCAAAGTGACTCCCTGCCACACCCTAAAAAACTGCATCCTCATTCCTCAAATAATTCTGGAGTCCCAAAGGTGTAATCAACCCGGTTGCTTTTGAGACTAGCATAGAAAAGACCACCATCTCCAGAACCACAAAATATATCAACCCTAAATGTAAGGAAAGATCCATTTTTCTCATCCACTAGTCTCGATTTCATATTTTAGTGTCTCATTTTTCACTAAATTATACTTTCTTTTCTTTTATTTGAATTTCATCTTGAAAAGAAATCTACGGACAATTTTCCACGGTATATACTCAAAGTAAATAAAAATACACATCAAATGAATTACAAGCAAGCCTATTAAAACGGAAACAAAAAATTTAATCCTTATCCTCAAGTAATACAGTGAAATACATTTAAAGAAAAAGCGAAATCAATCAACTAAATAATCGATCGTTTAACCTGGTCTTTCCGAAGTTCGTCGGAGGAATCGCCGGAAACCGATCCAGAAACGGAGGCTCCAGCGGACCTGACGTTTGAAGAGACGGTCTTGATATAGGAAGAAATGAATCTGAATGAATTAGGAATTAAGCCATTGGCGTTGTCATGTTTATCATTATCAGCGTTGTTTTGGTTTCTCCTCATAATACTAATCGACTACTTGTAACTTTTACCGGCACCCGTCTACCACCGCGTCCTCCTCCACCACCCACCACCAAGCGTTGAAGAAGATTCACAATAGAATAGGGCATCAAATAATGAACTCCACCGGAAAAAAAAAACTTGCAAGAACACGCCGGAGATTACAGCGGTCAGAGATTTTCAAAGAGTTTGTTGGGTTTGACCTTCACAGCGACGGTTCCTCTCTCTCTCTATCGTGATCAAAAACCTGCTTTTAATTGCGCCGTAAGCAAGTTTTGGGAATTATAATATTGAGTCCTTCAAGATACTTTATTGTCATTTTTAACCCTCAACTTCAAACATAATAATAATAATGAGAGTAAATTATTGATTTGGTCCCTCGGGTATGTCATTTATTACGAATTTGATCCTTTATCTTCATTTATTACAAAAGAACCCTCCACGTATTCAGTTTGTTATGGATATGGTCCCTAAGGCAAATGGTTGTCTATTTTTTGTCGTAAGCTCCCACCACGTGTGATGCGGACGAGGATAAAATGGCCAAACCCTTTTATATCTCTTTCCCCTATTTCCCTCTCTTTTAATACTCGATTCCCTCGATGAAAATCTTTCTTCTTCACACGAGCATCGAAGCATACAAAAATGGTGTTGTGATATTGTGGTGAAGATATGCTTGTGTGCACATCCTGGACAAATTCAAACCCAGGTTGAGGATTCTTCTCCTATTCACAACCTGTAAGTTTTTTTGTTTAACCAATTGTCCATCTACTGATTTTTTTTCGTCTCCTTGATCCCTTGATTTTTACAGGGAAAACAATTGTCCATTTATTGGGTGGATTGATCCACCCATATGTGCTTGATCCTTGGTGGATAAACCTAGTTTATTAAGGTCAAGGAACTCTTCTGAAGAGCAAATAAGGACAAAGGCAGTAGAGGCGTAGATTGAAGGCATTGTTGTTCATCAGTTGGATTTTCTTTGTAACATATTTCCTTGTATTTTGACCTAATCTATTTGTAGATGTAAATGGATGCTTTTGTGAAATGGAATGAAAAGTCTATGTGTTTTGTGCAACAACATCTATATTTTGTAAATACCATAAATGTTCACCGGTGGAATTGATGTTGCTCAAATTCAACATAAACTACAAAAGGAAGTTCATATGACCACAAAGGAACTGTCATTGTTACATTGTAAAATAGCAACCATAAATTAATAAGAACTCAATTATTAATTAATAGAAACTGTCATGGTTACATTATAAGCATACTCACAAAAGGAAGTTCATATGACCTCAAAAGTAAATAACATTACTAGACACAACATCAAAGCAAAAGACAATAAAACACTAGTATCACCACATGATAGCAATGCAAAAAGACACTAAACACTAGTACCACCACATGATAGCAATGCAAAAGACACTAAACACTAGTACCAACACATGAAACTGGCATGTCTTCTTATCCCTTACAAGTCCTAAAATTATTCCCTCTCTTCTTGCATTTGGTACAAGTCACAGTCTTACAGTCTTTGAAAGCTTTGAACCTTTCACAACAGGTTGACTTAATTCCTCAGCATTCTTCCTTCTCTCTTGTTTTGTCTATCAATGTGTGTGTGATGAACTAGTGGAGTTAGTGTCAGTGGACAGTCACTCTTGGACCATAATTCTTTCCCACTCAAAGGACCAACCTTGAACCCATAAACATTTTTGCAAGTTGTGAGAGTGTAACTAGCATTCACCCACTCTTCAGGTAACCCAAATTCTTCTTTATTAAATTACCATGTTATGGCAACAACATTCCTACATGGTATACCTGTCAACTCCCATTTCCTACAAGTGCATGACTTATGTCTTGAGTCAAAACCACGTTGATCCTACCATGGTCCACTCACTTGATACTTATCCCCACCATTCCTAAGAACAACAAATTGTGCAACTTGTGTCTTAATTGAGTTCCATATCTTGGTGGTTGTAGGTGTTAGAAGGTCGTCATTTTTTCAATCACCTTGCATACATTAATAATCCTCTTCATCAGGTATTCTCTAATGTATCCTAGTGTTGTTATGATAGGTTTGCCATAAATATCTATAAGCTGTCTGTTGAAGACCTCACACATGTTGTTCAATAGAACATCACAGTAAGGTCTACCTGTACAATGTCATCACTCAAAGTTCTTTAATTGATAGGTCTGATTAATTGATAACAAAGTACTTTAAATAGAAATGCATTGATGGAGAAGTAAATGTACCTGTAAAGTGGGCTCTAGACCAATGAACAACAGGTATATCTTTTAACCATGCATAAGCATCTTTATTCAATTCATTCATGTATTTTTTTTAAATTACGAAGTGTTGGTGTTGTTGCACATTTAAACAATAGATTCTTGTACACTTTTCTCTTTCATGTCTTCTTCATTCTCATATATGCGTCTGGAACAAAATCTATACTCTACCCACAAAAAAACTCTAACCAATGTTGGTATAATGACTTAGTCAAATCAAGGTAAACCAATGTCATCAACTAAGTTAAATGAACTAGTAAAAAAATGCATTCAAGTAAACAAGTAAGAAACAACACCTTTTGTTTATCACTGATAAAAGTGAAATTGGAAGATCTAGTCAAATCAAGGTCATCACCCTGGCATTCCAAGAATATGTGGTCTCAACTTCTATTATGCATAAGCTAAGGGATAAATACCTTGGTTTGTGTCGACCTTAGCTGCACGCAAAATCTGGCTTGGATAAGGTCCTTTCATGACAAATCCATCTAAACCCAACAAATCCTATCTACATGCTCTAAATATAGCCTCTATTGCACCAATACAAATGTATATACGTTTAAACTGCCTTGTTAGTGTCTTTGGGTTGGGTTCACGTTCAACTACTAGCTTAATTGTGATGATTGGGTTTGCTCTCTCAAGCTCCAAAAAATAGTCCCTTAATCACCTCTGTACTGCCTCACTTTTCTTGCTTGTAAACATGTGTGAGTGTCTTTGTAGGTCTTCATTGTCCAAGTTTGATTTTTTTTGTTTGTGGAAGTAAGCAATACCTAAGGACATGTTGCTTGGTTTGACTCAGGAATGGTAAGATGTAACATCCAATTTATAATATGTCAAATTATTTACTTAGTATATTTAATTATTGGGTTAAAGAGAACTTATGATTTAGTGGGAGTTTGGGTCTGAAGGTTTAGAATTATATTTCTTAAGAATATATTAGACGATTTGGAAAATATCACGTCAAATAGATACGTAAAAAGGATTTTTTGGGAGATCTTTTCTGGAATATCTTTGTTGGATGTTATAGATTATCTCTTTATGAACGTGTAGGCAAAAATCTCATAGAAAACGGAGGTCCGAGCGAAAAGTTATGAATATTTTAAGTGTTGATAGTCAAAATGGGTACATAGCCGGGCCAACCCGGCCCAACTCGAGTTTTAGCATTATAAATTGGATTTTTGACCCATTTTTCATGTCATCTAAGTCCAAACCTCACACACACACACTAGAGGTGCAATTTTCACACACATAGGCTCGATTCAACTCAAATCAAAGAAGAACTACAAGATCTTTGAAGGATTTGATCATCAAGTAAGGTATAATCCATTCTTTGCACTTGTTCTTGGTTGACATTCTTGTTATATGGATTGCATGTTGATTTAGAGTTAGGGTTTCATATGGGTTTGATCTTAAGTGTATAAAATGAGTGYWTTTTAGTGTTTATGGCATGAAATGGTCATTAGATTCAAGAGATTATCAAGATTTATGCAAGTTCATCATATGAAACTTTGACTTGATTAAGTCAATGATTTGRGAGATAATATAAATGATAAAATAAAGGTTGGATTTTGGTTGTGTATGTCAAATATGTTATATTAAGTTGAGATTCAGAAGTTGGAATGGTTTGGAATCGAAATGGTTTGAGAAAAATGTATGAAAATGAGAATTTCGACTTTTGAATGCATTRAAAGTGTRYAGACTTTGAAAAACTATATAAAATCATAGAAAAATCGAAATGAGGTGAGGCCAATTTCCTTAGTTAGATATTTGAGTCTAGTTTATTTCTTATGATCAAGGCATGAATTCGAGCTTAAAATGGGCAAAACAGTTCTGCATGCAGCAGCTGTACATAGAAATTTAGGTAAAATGTTCAAATAGGATATGTGCATATCATGAGTTTCTTACATTGATTGCTTATAAGATTTTGTACATTTACTCTAGGGGGTAATTAGGACATGTTTTGATACTTTGGAAGCAATCTAAGTGTGGTAGATTGGACTTGCTTTGTGAGCTCATTCGGAGCTTTTCAGTATTGTACGGTTGCCCCATGAGTTATATAGTTAATTGTTACATATTGATTTGAACATATATATTTTCATATGAATGTTTTTGGTCTTGAATGGACTCACACGATCTTGATTTGTCTTTGATTCCATCTCTTGAGTCGATTCTATATTACTATCTCGATACATCGGTTTGCTTTCCGGATCCAGACTTGTTTGTTTTGTTCCTTGAATTGTACGCCATAGTACGGGTACTACTTCGTGTGGCACGCTGGAAGTTTATGGCGAAGTCAAGATCCCAGGTTGGACGGGTGAGACTTTCTGCGATTGTGAATACTCATTGCTCAGAAAGGAGGAAGAGCAATGAGTAGGGAACCTTGGCACATATCCGGTAGAGGAAGGCAGGCAGTGCAAGGTTTCTCGTAAAATATGATTTCGACTCGGACTTTGGCACGAGCCCGGAAGGTGAAGGACGGGGGAATGCACTGTCCTCGTTATGTATACCTATTCGATCTCTTGGTTCTTGATATTTATTGGTATTCTAACGTTGCTGAATATATTTGGTTGTTGATCCTGTCTCTTTGTTGTATTGAGCATCAATGATATGGTATACTATGGTGATTTGAATATGGAATCCTATGATCTTAGCATCCGGTACGTAATTGTTCACTTGGTTTCTTGTAAGTCTCGATTTGCATCTGGATGATGTCTTGAACTCTTTTATTGATAAGAGTTTATTATGTATGTTTATAAACATGTGCGATAAAGATATGTAATGCTTAACTATTTAACTCACTAAGCGGTGGCTTACCATTTAAGTGGCAACCACTCTCAGGAAAGAAGACGGATAAAAAGAAAGAACCCATTGTTTGACTTGAAGATTTATTGGGGAACTTGAAGATATCGATCTTGCTTTTGGGTAAATAGTAGCTTATTAC